CTGTTGCCTGTTGCCTGTTGCCTGTTGCCTGTTGCCTGTTGCCTGTTGCCTGTTGTATAACAGCTTGAATTTTGTAGTGGATCATTTGTAAATAATGTCAACAGAAAAGTAAATAATATGCTGGAAAAACGTGTAATCAAAGTTTAGAAAAATTCCATATTGTTGTGACCATTTGCTTTTACATCCACATTCCCCATGGTGCAATCAGTTGGGGCTTGGTATACAACATGCGACATGCAACATACAACTTGCAACGAAACCTTTACCAGCCTTTTTTGAAATAGCTGTAGAATATTCTCAGGGTTCATTCTCTATTACTGATCAGATATAAGAAGTTTACGTCGCTTACCAACGGCTTGGCTTGGAGTGGGTGGTTGTGCAGTTGGTGGTAATGCTGTGGGTGGTTCTGGCGTGGGGGCCTGGGTTGGAGGGGGAGGAGTATTTGGTGCTGAAGGGAAAAACAAATAGACATTCTTGAGTGTTGGGTAAGTGACTTTGTAATCAGAATGAAGACGACTAAAACATAGGGATAGAGGAGAGTGGAAATCAGACTGGAAGGTCTTTTAAAAATGTCAGAGTAATTTTAGTCAGAACGACTAACTAGAATGAATAAAAGTATCAACCTTGTGTAGTGGGCCCCACAGTTCCACAGTTATGTTTAGTAGTCGGAAGAACAGTCACAGGAGCCTGGGTAATAACCGGAGCCTGGGTCGTAGGATCTTATAACAGAGAACCAGTTAGAGAAAAACAAAAATATTTAAATGCATTTCTAAGCTCAATACGCATAAAGTAAATATAAAAAAATTAGACATACGTAAAAGAATAAATAAGGATTATTCTTACTTCCACAGAAGTTGCAAGAGTAGGGACAGTCGATCTTCAGTGCTTCTGGGTTAGTTTGACAATGACCACCAGCAACCCATGCTTTGCAATTCCCTTTCTTGTCCATACAACTGTCTAAAAAATGTAAGAAATTGTTTTTTTTAACAGACGATCACCGACGTAGAGATCTAGAATGATGGATGGGTTCATTTTGTTTCATCAATTTTTGATCCCCAATTTTAGGAAAGATGCAAGAGAAAATCATTTTCTCTTGGAAAGATGTCATTGCATGATTTGTCAATCACGTGATGAACAGAGACGACAATACAGTCATGTTAAGATAAAAACTTATAAGTGGGTTGAAACGTTTAACAGCCATACATTCGATACTTCGGAATATTCAACTTTAATTTTTCATAACAAATTTCTTTTTCCATTAAATCGCGCAATCTTGCTTCAAATATTCCCAAAACTAAATTAAAGACAGATATCCAAATTGTTTCATTGAAAGATTCAGTAAATCTCCTCTAAAAGTCAGGAAATTCAGTGAAAAATTTGAGAGAGAAAAAGCCATGCCATCTTGAAACCAAAGTCATATTTCTATCCAAATGTGGTATCAAAACTCCTAATTTGCATATCTGCATATTCCGGAGCATGGCTATAGTGTTACATGTATCAATGCCCATATAAGGATGAGTACCTGACGAGCACATATCACAAGTCACAGGACACCAGTATATCAGGCTGTCAGCATGCGCATTACACAGACCAGAATCCTTGTAGCTCTGACAATTTGCAGACTTGTCACTGCAGGTATTAGCTGATGAAAAAGCAGACATAAGTAATAACTTTTTCTCACTAAAAAAACCTTAATTAGTCCAATAGAGCAGGTGCATGTTACATCATTGCCACYATCTTGGTTAACGATAACAAAACATTCCTCATTAGCTTCTCTTGTTAAATCAACCAAGATGGCGACTGTTTCATTGTTACCAATGATAAAATAGACCTCCTCGCTCGGGCGTAATGTTTTCACCTTTTCAGACTACGTGTCATTACCTTGAGAATAAGATTCTTTGTTAATTTAAAGTTGTGAGATCAACCAAGATGGCGACTGTTTCATTGTTATTCATTTCGCAAGGGATTTTGAGTCACATGGCTGCACACACTCTATAGACTTCTTTACCTTGGGCGCAATGTTATTCCATTTCCGACCACGTGCTATTCTCATGAGACCTAAGATTCTTTGTTTTTAAAGTTGTATCCATATTCATGTGCCTTCTCATGTGCAACCGTTAAACAAAGAAATGTTAACACGTGGTCTGAAATAAGCAAACCGGTAATGTCCAAGGTGAAGAGGTCTAATCAATCATGGATGAGGCCCAACAAGTTTATGTTTTACTCACATCTCTTGACGATACGTGGAAGTGGCTTGAAATTTGCTTCAAAGTCATCGGCCATTCTTTTCCTCATGACGGCTTAAGAAATAAAAAAAAGAAGTTGTTTGGCATGGTATGACACGCAGAGACAGGTAGATTATTATGGTGTATTGTGTGAGGCTGTGTGTGGTGTATAATAGCATGGTGTGGTGTGGTATAGTATGAGTGGTAGGGTAGTATGTAGTGTGATAGGATAGTTAGATTATTAGCATGGTGTGGTATTGTGTGAGGTGGTGTGTGGTGTATAGTTGCATGGTGTGGTGTGGTATAGTATTGGTGGTAGTGTAGTATGTAGTATAATGAGATAGGTAGATTAATTATTAGCATGTTGTAGGGTAGATTACACATGGTATGGTATGGTAACATACCGTCACACTTATACATGGCATTGGTCTGCATGGCATCGTCTGGACTCAACTCAACATAAGGTGTCTTGCCCTGCATGTCAGCGATTGCCCTTATGGTTGGTTTGCCATTCTTGGAGAATGCAGTGAAAGGATAATGCATAATGGAAGCGAAGTCATACTTGCTGCCATAATCTATGACCTCTGTTCCCCAGCTTCTCTTGGCAAACGCATCTTCCAGTCCTGAGAAAAGGAAACAACCGCTACGCCTATATCTTTTGGTCATTGTTATATAGGACAATGTTCGACTTAAAGACAGTAGGACAATACGTTTTTTTAGGATAAACACTATGGGTTACAGTGAAAAATAAAAATCAAGGTAAGTAAGAARAAAAAAAAGAAGGATGAAATGAAGAAAAAAGCAAGAACAATTATAATAGGAAAGAAAAAGGAAAGCGAAAAAGAAAGGATGGAAGGATAAAACAAATGGAAAGGAAAGGAAAGGAAAGGAAAGGAAAG